TAAGTAAGAAAATAAACCTGGAGGAACCAGGGAAGAACTGTTAAAAAAAAAAAAATCAATGTGCAGAATTCACCACAGCATTGGAAGTAAAGAACAGAATCACCATTGCGGAAATTCAACATCTTGGAGGGCAAGATTGAAAAAAATAACCCAGGGAGTAAAAAAAGAAAGACAACAAAAATTGGAGATGGACAAAGTGATAAGCAGGAAATCGATTATGGTGTACCACAGAATGGATGCTCATAAAAAAGAGAATCAAATAAATGGAATACAAGTAATGGTCCAAGACTGTGGACCAAGCTAAGATTGGAATCTTCAGAATGAAATGACCAACCCTCTACTTGATAAAACCTACATAACTGATATTCATAAAGATACTGGCTGTAGAGGACAAAGAAATAAAATCTAGGCAGAAAAAAATATTTCAACAAAATTAAACCCATTTGGTAAAAAAGCTCTTCATCTAAAATTGCTTCCAAATCCAGTGTGACCTCCTATGGCTTTGACTGGTCCACCAGTGGTCACACGTGAGCACCTAGGAGGCAAGGGCAGCTATCCGGATACTTGCACGAAGATAGGAGCGGAGTTATGGAAAGACAGGATAGACAGTGCTAATAAAAACAATGAAGGGGTTATGGCTTAGATCAAGAAGTCCCTCAAAAGCCTCATGTTTTCAGAGGTGGGGCTTTTGGAAGGTGACCAGATTGTGGGGGTGCTATACTTATCAGCGGATTAATCCACTGATTCATTCTTAGTTGAATGGGCCCGGTTTGGAGAGTCTAGGGATGTGTCACTAGGGATGGGACAGGAGCCATGTATCTAGCTCCCCCTCTCCTCCCTTCACTCTGCTTCCTGGACACCGTGACATAAACAGCTTTCCTTCTCATCAGCCCTTTCCACCATGTCGTTTCTGCATTTGAGCCTGCCAACCATGGACTGAAACTTCTGAAACTGTAAGCCATAATAAACCTCTTCTCCTTTAAGTGGTAAATGTTTGGTATTGTCTCTGCAATGAAGAAAGTGATTAAGACAGAAGGTAAATTCCAGGTGTAACCTTAGGCAGGCAATTTTATGTCTCTAAATCTCAGTCTCCTCATATGTACAATTTGATAAGGACTCCCATGGAATTATTAGGAAGAATAAAAGAGAAGGCATATATGTAAAACACTTAGCATGTGAAGGGATATTGCGGTTAGCAGAGCTTTCCAAGTTAATCATGAAAGTAGCAATGAAAAGTGCATCCAGTATAACAGTGTGCAAAGGTGCTCACATCCAAATCCCTACAACTTGTGAATATATTATCTTACTGGGCAAAGGAGACTTTGAAGATGTGATTGAGGATCTTGATATTGAAAGGTTATTTTGGATTATCCACCTAAGCTCAATGTAATCACAAGAGTCAGAGAAGAAGGAATGGGACAGACAGACAGATCAAAGTGGTACAGTTGCTACCTAAAACTACTGGAGGGGCCAAGAGCCATCAGTGTAAGCTGTTTCCAGCAGCTAGAAAAGATTAGGAAACTGATTCTCCCAGGACTCTAGAAGGATTGCTGCCTGTCAACAACTCAATGTTAGCCCACTGAAATTCATTTCTAAATCTACTTTAGGAAATACATTTGTTTGGTTTTAAGTCATTAAGTATGCAGAATTTATTATAGTACCAATAAGAAACTAATACAAAGAGAAAAAGGCTGGTTTAAGTGCAAAATATTCATTTTTCACATTATGTTAGTTTAAATTTTATTTTGATGCTGCCTCCAACATTATTTACTCATTTTCTTAATAATGTTAGATTTTAGCAGAACCAGGGAAAATTAAGTGCATCCCCCTGAATGATTCATACTTTTCTGTTTGGCTCCTGCACCAAGATGCTTTCTCCTATTGAAGGATGGGAAATTGCAGGTTGTCTTATAAAATCTCTGGAAAATAGGCCTTTTGATAATCACACTCGTCATATTGGCACTAGGCAACAGCAGGATAGGGACAAGCAGGAGAGCTCAAAGTCATGACAAGAAATAGTGCTATGATGGACCATGGCCAAGGAGAGATGGAGGTTAAGTTTAGAGAGGTGAACCCAGACAGGAATAGCCTATGAGCATGACTGGCTAAGACGGGCAAGGGAGGGCAGGCAGGTGCTGAAAGCTGAGGCAGTGAGCACAAGTCCAGGAATCCAGAAACAGAAATCCAGCCCTGGGGAATAGGTGCTCTCACAGATGGTGAGAGGATCAGATATCAGAATGCTAGGGACCATGGAGAAGGGATGGATAAGAAGCACAGGTAGTAGCTGCCTTGTCTGCCCCAGATAAAGGCAGAAGACAAAATTCAAAGGGAGAAAACAATGGGCCCTTTGGTTAAACAAATGAAGACTCAGATATACAGGACCATAGGGAACTGAGCAGGCTCAGTTAGATAGGCAGGGAAAAGTGGGACAGGAGACAGTGCTTGAAGCCTGAAGTGGGCCACAACTCACA